GCCACGAGTACATCGTGAGCATGGCGTGTAGTCATGTTATTACATGTTTGCATCAGTCACATACCTTCGTAATCCATTCGCGTCTCGTAATAACAAATTTGGTATATGCAAAGGTAGCAAAGTGGCCGCGAACACGTCAAGAGTGTGGCATGTAGCCATGACGTTACATGAAAGGCATGTCATGATTTTGATCTTAGGGTCTGTGCTTTGCGTTCGCGATGCAGTCATGTCATACCGTACCAGGTTTGCTACATATGATGTCAATGAAACGACTGCAAGAGCAGCAAGACCGCAGCATGTAAGTTATGACATTTATGGCATACATGTCACGATTTTGATGTTATGACTAGTCAGTTATGTTCGCCATACAGTCATGTTATATCATACCAAGTTTATTATCGATACCATTATAAAAACGGCCAGGAGAGCTAAGAGTCATAGTCGGATAGATAGGTATATAGATAGATAGATAGATAGATAGATAGATAGATAGATAGATAGATAGATAGATAGATAGATAGATAGATTCAAAGTGGCCGAAGTTCGTCAAGAAATTCTCGGTATTTAAAACAAGGAAGGCATACAGTGACCACCTCATAAGAGGATGGCACCCAGAACGAGTTTGTGGGTAACCCTCGCACGGACCCCGTTGGAATCGGCTACTGCCTGAGCTCACCTAACCAATGCTTTTTGGGCCTGAAGGTTACAGCAGCCAAGCATGGTCGCGTCCCACTGCTCCCGGGTAGGGTTGGGAATAGGTGCATCTCCAGTGTGAATGACGCTGCGTTCCGGTGGCAGGATAATTTCACTGGCTGCAGAGAGTGGATGCTCCATGAACTTAGTTTAGTATGCCGTGGAATGGCGATCCTAGTCCAAATTCTGCGTCCCATCAGCGACAATATACTGGCTGTCACACCGCTTTTTCCAACTGCACTCTAATCTGTTAAATACTACAGCTACCTCAAGAGTTTGTCTAACCATTCAGCTTAAGCTTTAGTCGGCTGGATGAAGATGTACCTCCAAGCTTTAAAATTGGCGCATCCACGTTTAATTGTGCTTTAGCCGCCAAACAACTAAGACATAGTGTCAGGTCTGAAATATAATTGGACATACATAATAAACTAAATTGTAGAAGACGTTTTAGTACTGTCTTATACTGAATGCTGTAGCAAATAACAAAGTTTTTTTTTTCAATAATGACAGAAATCACTCCTAACAATTTTTCAGCAATGCATGTTTTTGTGTTTATGGCCAACAGAGTCTGACCATGCAATTTTTTCAAAGCACATAATCCATCTGCAAGTGCCTGAACATCAGTTGGTTGCAACATTTTTTATGTGGAGCATTTCTTAGGTGCACGATGCCACGCATCGTGCGTCGATGTTGTCCACACCCCCACTGCGCATGCTCGCATTTCGCGTATCGTGCCGCATGTTTGCGTCTCGTACCAACTATTTGATACCCCTCTCTTGCCTTGCATGGTCGACACAGACAGCGTCTGCTAGTAAAAGCCAACTGCTCGAGCTGCACAATTGTTAACTGGCCACCCCGTATGAACCTTTTTTTTACAGAGAGGAGGACTTCCTACTTTTATGGCTGTTGCATGAGAGGACAAAAGCCAAAGTCAGAGCCTCGGCAGTGCATTTGTGGGAGGTCATGCGTGGTAACAACAGCCCAGGCAGGACTATGATAGCGCCCAGAACGCCTTGGGTGAAAAGGTCTATATGTAGGCACTTCACTTCACTTCACTTTATTACTTTAAAGACCCCGTTGAGGGGGTACTACATAAGGGGTGGGTTAACAAATAGATGTTACAAAGCGTGATCTTCTGAAAAACAATATGCATTTGTGTTTTGCGCAAACGTTGATGAACACGTGATGGCTGCAATGTCACGGGGAAGGCCAGCCTGATCCATATGCACTGGATTGCATATCAGCTTTCTACCAATCTTTGAAGGCAATGCTTCTCCACCATTCAATAAATAATAATAATAATGTAGAGGGGGTTAATTAAAAGAGCCGAGCAAGCGGGTGGTAGCTTGAAAAGAACGCAGGCGGACCCAGATGATGGTGCTCGATCGCCGATCTCGTGCCTTGTTATCGTGGTGATGATAGTTGAGCCCATCATACCAACGTCTTGCTTCTTCATTATATTACCCCCGGCGAAAAAGATGAAGTCAACCTGGCAATCTAACACGTGGAGACGAGCGGAGTGAACCAGACCTGAGACGGTCTACTCGAACAATATCACGTCCACGTCGACGACTTTCGTTCGTGGCGTGAGGGGTTCGATGGCGTAGTTCACGGGTGAGGTACGCTCGACTACGCGGTAGGGACCATGATAATTAGAGAGTTGCTTGGGCGATACACCAGGAGCACAGGGTGCTAAACGTAGTCATACAAGTGCACTCGGAACGAACGTTGTTGCAGAACAGTCTTCGTGGTTTTGAGTCTCCTTCCGGCACAATTGGTCAGCGGTTGTGAGCCGTTTGACTAGGTTGTGTCACTCTTCAGCGTAACGTGCGACTTACGAGACAGGCGTGCATTCGGAGGGATCTGGGGCGTATGGCAGCAAAAGGTTGATGGTATGCAACGGTTGGCAACCGTCCAGGAGAAAAAATGTGAAAAACCCTGTAGTGACTTGCGTAGCGGGGCTCTACTCAGATGTTACAAATGGAATAGCGTGGCCCAAGTTTGATTAAAAGCGACATGCGTCGCGAACAAGTCCCCCAGTGTACGATTAAAACGCTCAGTAAAACCACTCGTCTCTGGGTGGTAGGCTGTACACTTCTGGTGTACAATACGACACTTTTGAAGTAGTGCTTGAATTACATTGGAGAGAAATACACGCCCACGGTCACTATGAAGTTTGCGAGGAGGACGAAGCACAAAACAATTGAGTATGAAAGTTGCAACGTCATATGCTGTCGCTATGGGAGAGCAGCAGTTTCAGCCTACCGTGTGAGGTGATTCACAGCCACGATAGTCCATCATAGCAACGTATTTCTTCTTTAATATAGTAAAGACGAAATAACAATTATGCATGCCCAAACCAAACGCAATTACGCATCATTCACGCAATACCTTCCGCAATCTTCGACGCATTTACTCAAGTTCCCCCCATGCGAAAAGTCGGGCGGCATTTCAATTGTCTGCACTGCCTTTTGAAACAAATTTGTCGCAGAATTCCATCTGTTTTCTGCATGTCCAATGAAAACTACCAAAGAAATTATGCTCTTGCACTGTCATGGTTTGCACAAATGTTGCCCTAATCCAAAACTCATGTTCCTCGTTGCTTCAGAAAAATTGTCATGATAAGTGACCTTGCGCATTGATAGCCAGCGGAACTTCAGAAAAATTGTCAGATCTCATACAGAATTGCCGTTTTGCTTCACCGCAAAACTTATAGTGAGAGAGAATAGGGGACATGTCTTAGTGAGAAAATACCTCTCCTTTTCTAGCAACTAGTATGGTTTTTGGGCGCTGCGGGCGTTTTTTTAGAGATTTTGCCTCGAACGCCAATATTGAAATAAATACCTCGAAAGGCAAGAATAAATTTTGCTTGCAGAGATACTGTAGCAAATCATATAGTGCACAATACTAACTACTCCCAATCTTTTTAGAATAGAATTGGAAATGGTCATGCGAAATGTGTCAGGTGTTTGGCGTCGAATGAGCTCACTAAAATTGAAAAAAAGCAAGTAGACGCCCCGTCGTGGTGATCTAGTGGCTGAAGTACTCAGTTGCTGGCTCGTAGGTCGCGGGGTCGAAGCCCGGCTACGGTGGCTGCATTTCTGATGAAGGCGAAATTGCTATAGGCTCGTGTGCTCAGATTTGGGTGCACGTCAAAGAAATCTTCGTAATAGAAAACTTTGGACCCCTTCACTGGGGTGTGGCTCATAATCATATAGTGGTTTTGGGACGTCAAACTCCACATATTATTATCAAAAGCAGGTATCCCTTTCAGCGTGCATGGGTGAGCGACTGCATCAATATACCACGCAGAATGATCTCGTGCATTAGCACTACGGTAATAGATCGTCGTTACAAATGTACACACAGGTGTAAATGCACTCAAATGGTACACTGCATGCTTGGCTGATTAAATTGCAGTAACAAATCTCTATAATCGCTTTTTTCCTTTTTTCTATGTACAGCAAAGAGCTCTTGCTACAAAACAGATCCCCCTTTAGATTGTAGCACGTGCCTTTAGTACTCGAATATTGCCCAAGTAAGCTTTGTGAGAAAAAAAAATCCTGGGTAACAGTGATGTTAGCGAACAAATGTAGAAATATAACGCGTTAACGAAACGCTGCCAAAGAATAGCAAACAACGCTCAGCTGTTATTCTTTCCAACTCAAAAATGAGCTTTCTAACCGAGAAAGAAGGCGCCATGAGAGAGCCATGGTATTAAAACTAAGTCTGATTAAAAGCACCACCCGATGAATTAAACACGCAGGTGAATGTGCGAAAATTCACAATCTAGGTTTTTTTTTTGGTGAACGTCATTGTAACGCGAAAGTGATGGTCTTCGTGTGTCTTGGGCACATAAACACTATAAAACTTTCCGAGAAAGAAACTGCTAAGTACAATGGCTTCACATTCTTACAGGAAGCCTAAGTATGCTCTCTTTGAAAAAATAGGCACGTTGCACATAAAAGCATTACAGTCACACTGGCTTTCTTTATTGAAAAGAATAAAAGAGCTCTGGTTTGAGCTTGTTGGCTATAGATATATATCTACTCATTTGGGGACACTATGGAAACTCTCTGAACAAAAGCAAGCATTCGACGTGCAATGACATGGCAAAACGAAACTAATAGTAATCCGCTCTCTTCCTGTTCGCGCGCGTGTTTATAATGCGTCTCTGCGTGCGTGCGTGTGTCTGTTTTTGTGTGTTTCAATAGCATGCACCTATCGAAGTGTGTGTGATGAACACAGCAGTGAATGAAAGTGTTCGGTGGTCGTAATGTACCTTGAATTATATTTGATCTTCACAGCGACAGGCCTACGCCGCTGGCAGCTACGAGGTGCTGCCGCAGGGAATGCCGATAGCGGGCTTCGTGCGTCACTTCTGCGGACATGCGACGCGCGGCATTTGCTCCTACCTCGCCGACAACTTTGCCAATTTCGGAAGCAGGTACATCAACGAGGTACGTCGAACGTTAACAAGTGCACGAAATGGTGCTGTTTAATCAATAGATGCTGAGAGAAAGAGAGAGAGAGCGAGAGAGTGGCTGAAGCATTTGAGAAAAAAAAATGCTTCATTGCCAAGGTTTACGAAGGGGAACACTAAATTATATAGGCTACATTCTAACGTTATTAAAGCACTTCAAGAAGACACAAAAGGCACTGTCTACCATCCTTCATTGCTTTTCTATTTTGTATCACATTAAAAAGTGAACCGTCGGACGTGTCCCACCTTTGGGGTGGTTTCTTTTGAACGTCAGTCGAAATTTTAAAAACGTAACTTTTCTATCTAGGTTTGATTTAGGTGCGGTCTTTGATCTAGGGTCAATCTAGAAGAAATGTGATTGCTCCTATTGAGGCAGAGTCTCAAGAAAGAAATGCAGAAACCATTTTTTTGAGAAAAAAATCTGTATAATTTTATAAGAAACACGAAAATATAAAAGGAACACGTAAACGAAAGAAAAATAACTAGAGAAGTTACACGCGCGTAAATAATTTTGAGACCGGTGATGTAGTAAATAAAGTTCAGCGAATGTTCAAGGAAAAGCTCGATGTCACTAGTTGTTGCGTCACTTGCGATGTCCGCGCCGGCTGGGTCGTGGTATGGGCCTGCGTCGATGACGAAGGCGTTGTGAAGTTGTTGAGGAGAAGAGTCAGTGCAGAGGTTCTAGAAGTGTGCACCCTTTGTCACAGAAGGCTCCCGAGCTCCGTGCCCACGCACCCAGGGTAGCGTCTGGCGGCAAGCACTTGGGCAAGCCCCGTGGCTCGCATACGGGGCTTGTTGAGCTACTCGAACCAGCTGGTCGGACATGCGAAGACCCTTCGACGCTGCCGGGCCCTTCGCGCTCAACTCCTCAGGTCACCAGTATTATCTACGGGTCTCTCTCGGCTGCGGGGATGGCATATTTTGCTCATTACGGAGATTTAACTTTCCGGATCAGCTTCTTAGACGGAAGGAACGACTAGTTGTCAGGATAACCCGTTTGCAAAGACATCTGGATACAGACAGTGTTGGGCCATTTCTGCTCGTGTCTGAATCTGGACGGCTCCGACCCTGACATCAGCGCATCTTCCTCTGCGCTGTTCAAGTCAGACTTTCTCAACATTTCCACCCGTTGTCCTTTTTTCGCGCCCCAACGCGGTGCCACCTTTTCATTGGTTCCTGTCTCTTTCTCCTCTGCCGCTGCAATGCCACTAGTGAATGTTTACCTTCAGTTGAGAAGATGAAGAAGAAGAAGAAGAAGCCATCGAGAAGCACGCGTGAGCTTTGAAGAAAGGAAAGAAGAAAAGGGAGCATCCACAATGAACTATGCTCAAACTAATATATGTAAATAATGTAAATGGAGTCATGTTTATTCGTATGCCGTGGCCAATTATTTTACAAAATGGTACCGTAACCCATCGGAAGTACTTGCTGAGAAAATGCATGCGCGGAGTGCTTGTCATTAACATTCAAACGGAAGACAGCACGTCGTGAGAACAGCGGCGATCACAGAAAAAAGGCATCCAGTACATCCTGAATAGGTATATGCCGCTACTTTTCGCTAATTGATTGATTGAACTGTGGGGTTTAACGTCCCAAAACCACCATATAATTATGAGAGACGCCTTAGTGTAGGGATCCGGAAATTTCGACCACCTGGGGTTCTTTCACGTGCACCCAAATCTGAGTACACGGGCCTACAACATTTCCGCCTCCATCGGAAATGCAGCCGCCACAGCCGGGATTGGATCCCGCGACCTGCGGGTCAGCAGCCGAATACCTTAACCACTATACCACCGTGGTGGGGCGCTTTTCGCTGTGACAGCATGCCTGACCAGTGGAATGAGGTGAGCGCAGTCGCGCATTGTTGAAGCACAAGAGCAATCGCGTCGAAGCGTTGAAAGAGAAGCGAGTGTTGCGGCGACATATGAATACGTGTCCATTCAATGAAGCCAAAGTCATGATAAAAGGTCCGACAGTGAAAAGGTGTCATATTTGAACAAACAGAGACAGAGAAACAACGCAAATTTGGATAAGCTTAAAGCCGAGCTGTAAGAGCTCATTCGAGAGGACGAGTACGCCACAGAATTTTAAGCTTTGTTGACGTATCAACAAGCTGCGCTAAGGTTTCTAGGAATGCTGAACGCTCGGAAGGGGGAAATTTCGCCAAAACCGTTGCTCCACGGCAACCCAGTCTCTACCTGCAAGGTCATCCCAGAAGCCCAAGGATCACGCAGTGGGCAAGGCAATCAAGCACAAGACAATAAGGCTACCAACGACCTACGCCGACTGCGCGCACCACCGGCAGTTGACTCGTTGGAAGACGTCAACAACCTTCGAAAGCTGTTGGATTATGTGCAGTGTCCATTCAGAGGTCTCAAAGGATTAAACGTCAGCCCTGCTAGTTATGCAACTATGATAGCGAATATTTTGTTGAAGGACTGCCAACAGGCATTGTCGTTGGTTATTACCGAAAAGAAGTCAACGTAAGGTTACCACCCCCTACGACAGACAATACAGGCTCTGGGCAACAACAGAATGATTCATTATCGACTGTTACCGTCGAGAAGGAGTTGCAAGAAATCCTGACGTATCTTCGCGTGGAGGTTGTAAGCCGTGAAAGATGTGAAGTTCATGATCTTAAAAGAAAGGAAGGCATCTATCCACCTGAAGCGAGAAGGAAATTGCACGCCAGCCTGCCAACAGCAGCAGTGTTGTAGCCTCACCGAAAGCTTAAGATAAATACTCTGTATTTCATAGGTTTGCAAACGACACCACTCCATTTTGTGAGCAGATTTAGCTATGAAGAAGAGTTGACGAAATAGGCTAACGACAAGCGACGTCATCGGTTCACCGTAAGAGGACATCTAGTCAAGGACTGCTATAGAAAAGTGTTGAACATGCAGAGGTAGAAATTTCTTCTATGTCCGATCACAAGTGGAAAACAAAGAAAAAGAACATGAAGGCTCCGTGACTCCCCCCTCTTTTTTCTTTTTTTACATTGCGCCAAATTAATTTCACAGTCAAAACACAGTAATCATATTCCCCTAGTCTAGAAAACCTAAAGGTATTGACTTGCATTAACCACCGGCTACTTGGCCAATCCGCCTTAGTGGGTGAGAGCCACAAAAGAAAGGAACGCGCAAGCAAGCAAGCAAGCGAACAGTCTGCATACCAGCTCTCTTTCGTACGTGCAATCTGATGTCTTGTTGCAAAAATTCAAGGCATGGGTTTTTGGGGAAAATGCAAAAGGCCAATATTCGTGCAATGGTGCACAGTGGAAGCTAAAGTACATTTCTTCGTGAAAATGTGTCCGAGACACTTGGATTAAAAAAACTTGTATCGGTTTATCTACACGTAAATATATTTGGAGAAACAAGTTTCGTTCCGACACAATATAGTGTCTTCGAGCTAGGACTTTGCAAATGGTATGGCACCCAGGAGTACCTGTCAACCGCCATTGAAGTACCATTCGTCTGCAAGAATTTTATGCAAGTACCAGTCGCCCTTGACTTAGCCAGAGACATCATAATTGGCGGTCATCAATTTGCTGAGAAGTTGGTGATACTGGATATAGCATCAGTTCCAGGAATCAGTCTTTTAATCAGTGTTGGTCAGTTTTGGGAAATAATTTCGGGAGAGACGAAGCAATATCATGAACAGAAAAGCTTGGTGGCAAAAGGTTTTGCTTTTGGATGGATGTTGCAAGTGTAGTGAGGAATTCGCAAGGCACTGACTAGTGATACAAGGATCAGCTCGCAACATCTTAGTCTTGTGACTAAGTACGTCTGCTGACTTGCATTTGGTTGATGTCTTTTTTTTGGGGGGGGATCTGTTCAAACGTGCAATCACCAACCATCGTCTTCATTTTTTTTGAGAAGGAGGAAGATGAAGTGGCCATGCTCGCCTGTGCGCCTCATCTTGCTGTGCTTTTCATAGTTTTTTTTCGTTCCCTGGTATCTTTTACTGAAAATGAGCAAAACATTACAAATGCCAGCATTAACCCCCATCAATCCAGATGGAAGAAACGACCCTTTCAGTCAAATCCTCACTAGGATACAAACCAGGTCATGCGGGACTAATAATAAATGAAGCGGTGGACACACTGGGGGCAGAATCAATTGAAGGCCCTGTCCTGAATATTCTCAGACTCTGCAGCCTATATACAACAACGCGCTTACAAATTTCTGTATACAGCAGCAACACATTAACTCTTCTCTTCTAAATGGCGCAGATTTTTAGCACCTTAAGTTTCAGTAGTACAGCGCATGGTGTGCAAGAAGACAATTGATTTGTGGGGTTTAACGTCCCAAAACAACCATTTGATTATGAGAGACGCCATAGTGGAGGGCTCCGGAAATTTTGAACACCTGGGGTTATTTAACGTGCATCCAAATCTGAGTACACGGGCCTACAACATTTCCACCTCCATCGCAAATGCAGTCGCGACAGCCGGGATTTGATCCCGCGACGTGCGGGTCGGCAGCCGAGTGCCTTAGTCAATAGACCACCGTGGCGGGGCGCAAGAAGACAATTCAAAGTGGCATTCACTAAATTGCAATGGTTGGTTCCACCTTTAAACTTTTATTTCTACAGACCGGGTTTTGTTTCTTTCCCCCCTTGTCACTATTGCCACGTTCCATTTCTCAAGTTTTTTTATCGCCCCAAAACACTACACAATTCTCAGCGCAAAACGCGCGTGCAGTTTTCGCGAAGCTTCCGGAATTTAGTAGATCATTCCGATAAGATCACGCCCACTCTGCGAACTGTACAGATTATTCTGGAACCTATGCCACCACCAGCGATAACGCTAGAACATTCGATGGCAAAAGTATTAAAGCCGACGCACGTCGCCGCTTGTGAGTAGTTGATCGACGGCCGACGCTCCGTTCGCCGATCTTGCTGTCTCTTCTCGAGTCCTCGCGCGGGAACCAGGGTCCCGTCACGCGGACGTGGACCCCAGGGGTTCAAGTCGACAAA